CTGTAGACCACATATTACTTTTTAAAAAGAGAGAAAAAAAGCAAAGAATATGTACAAAAATAAAGGTGATAGTTTGATATTTGGAATGATAATTCATTCTATTTGGACATTAATTATTCATATATACTACGTACATCATAATGTTGCATAATATGAAAATATAATATTTGATACTAACCAGAGGCGGACTCAGGATTTTTTTATCATGGGGTCGATCATATATTTAAAAATGTGAGAATATATTTCATTTGTTGGGTCATAAATAAAATAAGATTCATATTAGAAAATATTATCAAAAATAATGTTATGGTATCTACATGTAATATAATTTTCTTAAACTGACGTTTAGAGTTTACTATAAATTTTTAAATGAGATGGATGAATCATTAAAAAGTGAAAGATGTACCATAAGAATTTATTTTGGAAAAATGAGAAATAATATCAACTACATATATTTTTCTATAAATAAGTAAAGTGTAAAATTTATGAGTTTTTTTTATATAGAAGAGATTAGACAAATAACAAACAGATATGTTGATTTATAGTTTAATACGAAAGGAGATACAAAATTTTTGAAGTACTTAAGAAAATCGAAATGCTCCACAAATATAAATTTTACGTAGATTTCAAATGACATGGATAAAATATTAAAAAGTTAAAGTTCTATTTATTAGAAAATAAAGATAATTAATACGGAGTATCACTCATATATTTTTTTCTAAAAATGAGTAACATGTTAAATTTATAAGTTTATTTCAACATAAAAATAATAAAACAATAAAACAAACAAGAGGTCCAAAGTACAAAACTAGTCACAAAAAATCGTTTCCTACGTAGATTTTCAAATGACATGGATAAAACATTAAAAAATTAAAGTTCTATTTATTAGAAAATAAAGATAATTAATACGGAGTATCACTCATATTTTTTTTCTAAAAATGAGTAGTGTTTTAAATTTCTAAGTTTATTTCAACATAAAAATAATAAAACAATAAAACAAACAAGAGATCTAAAAGTACAAAAAACTAGTCACAAAAATTATCAAAGCCCATGTGGGAATAAAGTTCTATTTATTAGAAAATAAAGATAATTAATACGGAGTATCACTCATATATTTTTTTCTAAAAATGAGTAACATGTTAAATTTATAAGTTTATTTCAACATAAAAATAATAAAACAATAAAACAAACAAGATGTCCAAAGTACAAAACTAGTCACAAAAAATCGTTTCCTACGTAGATTTTCAAATGACATGGATAAAACATTAAAAAATTAAAGTTCTATTTATTAGAAAATAAAGATAATTAATACGGAGTATCACTCATATTTTTTTTCTAAAAATGGGTAGCATTTTAAATTTCTAAGTTTATTTCAACATAAAAATAATAAAACAATAAATAAACAAGAGATCTTAAAGTACAAAAAACTAGTCCCAAAAATTATCAAAGCCCATGTGGGAATGGGGACTCGAACTGGAGACATAATGCTGAGAGTTAACGCGTGCAACCATTAGGCTGTTCAGGCGTGTATTCATTGTCTCGATTTCAGTGTTATATATACACATATAAGACAAAATGGAGTATATTACTATAAAACTACGTGGAGGTCCGTGGGGTCGCGTGACCCCGTATGATCCTATGTGGGTCCGCCCTCATACTACATATCAAAACAAATTCACTAGCTATGAGTAGTTTCGTATTACAAAAATTTAAGATATGTGATTAATTAGCGGCCAAACTTAACGAATTCTAACGGGCAAATGTCAAGATCACCTTTTTTTAAAGATGATCGAGCGATAATACATGAAAAAATGTGTTTCTTATACGGGTAATTTTCATTATTTTGTATCGAGGAGTACTCAATGCTCTGTATTACTACCTCTTGTCCTAAAAAAAATTTGTTTTAACATTTTTGGTCAAAAAGTGCATTTGAACTCTAGATAATGATGTAAAGGATGGTGCAAATTGAAAGAGGGAGAGAGAGAAAATAGGGGTTTTTATTATTCTCAATAAATACTCTATATGTCCAATAATTATCTTCTCATTGTGCATTACGATGTTTGACTGAAGTTATATTTCCAAATCATTTTATATGATAAATTTTCGATAAATTCTTTAATACTATAGACTTTAACACATAAAATTATTATATGCATTGAACTTTGTAAAAATTAAGATATCTAATTATATGTGAACGAACCCATCCATGAAAAATATGTTAGAAGACTATGGAGAATATTTAGAGATAAATGATACGTTCCAAATAGATTTTAACCAATTGACCCATTTGACCGTCAAAAGAAAGAAGGTTAAAGAGAATACGGAGTACTCCGTATTTATTTAGAGAAATAAATTAAAATATAATTCTTCATTCATTTCATAATCCTTTCATACTCGAATGCGCATCCTTGCTCAGCTCGGATACATCAACTCGTACTCTGGAAGGACCCGGTCGGACCCTCCATGTTTGGCCTCCAACAATTGAGCATGCGTACTCGGCCTCTGCTGCCAGCTAAGCACCATGGGCCCACTGTGGTATGGGAGCCTGAGTACCTTGTCTAATCAGCACGCCCACGATTGGACACCATGATACACTTATCTGTACGATTGGCTGTAGCCACCTTATTGTCTGCCCGTTAGTTGTAGCCACCCTAGTTTATAATCAAACTGCTTGCGCCGTGAGTCGAAAGGCTTGCCCTTAGTGGGCCCGGCCCGCTATGCAGTAGACCAATGGGTGGAAAAGCCCAAATATGTATGGTATAAACAATCCTCCCCGGGTGGAGGAAAGACATGTTTACTTTGACTACTAAGCTAATATATTTTCTCAATTCTTGACCCCAAAAAGAACTCAGTACTCCTTCGATACTTTTCAACCTAGTCTCCAAGGTCCCGGGTTCTAAAATCCATCACAAATAAATTGAAAAAACTAGAAATTTTACTTCATTTGGCATTGATGGTGTAAATATAGCTGGGCGGGTTAACCGGGTTTGACCTGGACACTCGACCCGTAATATAAAACACACAACAAGAACACAAAGTATGACCTAGACCGGGTAAATCTCCTCAGTCCGAAATATATTTCTTACTCTGTCTCAAGAGTGTACTAGTTTTAGTGAGATAAAGAATTGTCCCTCTCCTCTATCCAATATCATCATATTTATAGAGGAGGATTTGTGACCTTCCCCTGTTCATCCATGGACAAAATAGGAAGCCCGTGGGAAGGTCACTGTACATAATCAATCAACTATTCAATCAATGAATCTAGCAACTACAAGCCAAGACATGCACTGTTCAATCAAAGACTATGTCATGGATATTCTCAATCCAATCAATCATGCAAAACGCCAATCATTCCCTTCACTGTTTGCCTCGTGACGGATGAGCGGCGGGGTGTCCCCTAGCCTCTGATGTTGATTGCTCTTCTCAAGTAACGCAACCTGACCGGTCACCTTTCCTCAAAGGTTACCCGGTCATTTCTTGAGTTCAACCCATCTCTTTGGTCATCTGGAATATCCTTCACAACATTAAGTGACGAATTGGCTATCGCCTAAAATGTGACCGGTCACTTTTTTAGTGGAAGTGACCGGTCATTTTTCGACCCGTCCCAATCGAAGAGTTAACATCATTTGGTGACTTGATAAAAGTGACCGGTCATATTTTGACCTGTCCCTTTTGGTTATCCGGGTCGGGTATAAGGATATACCCATCAATAAGTCCTCCACTTACCGGCCTTGTGAGGAAATCATCAAGGGCGGGATGTATACTTGTGTTGACCTATCACACTTTGAAATCATCAAGTCATTCTTGCTGACCAGTCCTTTCACATCACCAAGCCTTTTCCTCTAAGACCTGTCCTTATTTGAAATCATCAAGTCATTCGCGTTGACCTGTCCTTTTAGACCTGTCGCTCCTGTCCATCTTTGAATTCATCAAGTCATTCTTGTTGACCTATCCTTTTAGACCTGTCGCTTTTGGAATTATCAGGTCTTTCCGTTCAGACCTTGCCTTTTCTGGAACAATTTGAGACCTGTCCATTATGGACCAACCGGTCACATTTTCATGACCTGTCACGTTTAGATCCGTTGAAAATACCTCATGACCTGTCCGTTTGGATTTGTGGAAGTCCAAACGTGAGGCCTGGCCTTTTAATTTTAGAATTTCCCCCCAAAATCTTTTACCTTCCACATTCAAAATTCAAATTTTTCCCTTCATCATTACCCTTTCCACGTGGCACGTTCTCCTTCCCCCACCTGTCGCCTCGAATTCCAAGCCTCCTCTCTCTCTCCTATAAATACTCCTTCAACCCACTCCATCTCCTCACTTCTCTTCCTCGCCTCTCTTGTTTCGACCGGTCTTCTTCCTCTCTCTAGCTCTCTGCCAAGTAAGTCCTCCAGTCCTCCTAGTATTTTAATTCTTCCATCTTTCCTTTTTTAACCGGCGTCATAATGTCTTCTGATAGTCAAAACGTGTCCGGTCAGTCCTATGGGTCGGGCTCTCAGCCCTCTTCCCATTCTGAGTCTTCTTCTCCCCCTGTCACTCCTTTAATTCGCCGCCCCTCTAACCAGTCTAGCTCTCAGGCCCGGGAAATAGTTGCCCAGGAGCCTGTCCCTCTGAACCAACTACCTGGTCGGTTCGATCCCAAGGTCCTCAGTTGGGACCAATGGGAAGAACGATTGGGGTCGCTGGGTTACCTAGCCCTTGACTCAGGACCGGTCTTCAAAGAGTCTTCTAGGGTTACAAAGAAAGTCCTGGCCGAAGTCCGTTCTGTCCTTCCACCGGGCTATAAAGTCCTTTCTAAAACCACCTGGCCCAATATTATTGAACCCCACAAAGGAACCCGGTTGGGTTTCCACGTAGCTTCTCTGGAGGGAGGCATTATTTTTCCTCTCCGCCCCCTCCTTGTCGAAATCTGTAACAAGTTCCATATTTTGCCCGGTCAATTGACTCCTAATGCTCACGGGTTTATAAATTGCTTTGTTAATATTTGTGAATCTCTGCACATCGATCCATCTCTTGACCTCTTCCTTCATATGTATGATGTCTTGCCCGGGACTAGCAACTGCCCGGGCTATATATATCTCCATTCTCGAGCCTCCTCTAGAGGATTTATAACCGGGCTTCCCCCCCGCCATAAGAAATGGAAACAGAGATTTGTCTTCATTGAATTTCCCCCTGACCAATTTCCTTTCACTAACCCTGAGTGGGCTGACCGGGTTATGAAACCTGAAAGGGTTCACCCGGAGCCCACTAAAGAGCTTGAGGATGCCTGCGAGAAACTTCTCAAGGGTGATCCTGTGACCGGGAAACCATACAATTATGGGGGATGGGTGTACCGGTTAAAAAATCCGGATGGGGGTGTATCTGCGACCCATGATGCAGAAGATGACCGGGCCATCTCCCCGGAAGATCATGCTGAGGCCAGTTCTCCTCATCCAGGTCGATCATCCTCTCAATCTTCTTACTTTCATTTTCCTTATTTATGTATAAGGTAAACAAACTAAACCGGTCATTTGTTACCTTGTTCTTTTTTGGCAGACATGAACTTCAACAGGATGAACACCATCCTCGAGGATGACAATGATGACGTCCAAGTCCTCCATTTGGACCGGTCTCCTCCTTCCAAGCCTCCTTCTCCTCCTCTCATCCCTGAAATGGATGAGGCTACAAGTGCCCGGTGTAGCCCTACCCATGAAGAGAGCCAGAAGCAGAAATCTCCTCCAGCCACCCATCTCTCTGAATATGACCGGGTCCCTTCTCCTAAGAAAGATGACAAGGCCAAAGGAAAAGAGACCGGTCATTCTTCCTCTCACAAAAGGAAGGGTTCCCACAAGACTTCAAAGGGGGAAAGGAAGAAGAAGGTTAAGTTGTCAGATTTGGAGGGGGAATCCATCGAAGTAACTTTCCTATCCTTGGCCCAGAAACTCAACAAGGTACCAACTCTGATTTTCCTCCCGGTTTAGTTATTTCCTTTGCTTTTACTGACAAGTTTATTTTCCAGGTTGGGGTCTTATCTGAAGAAGTTGGCCGGTCACTTCTGGAATCCAATGACCGGGTCAGCGAACTCACCCTCCTTCTTGATTCTGCCAAGTTGGAGATCAATGACCAGGTTGAGAGTGAGAAAAGGCTAAGGCTGGAGGAAGACCTGATGGCGGAAAGGGCCAGGTTAGGGGAGGAAAAGGCCAAGTTGGATGAGGAAAGGGCAAAGCTGGTGGAGGAGAAGAGAAAGGTGGCTGAGCTGGAAGAAGCTTTGGCCCAAGCCGAAGAAACTTCCCGGGCTAAAGAGGAAGCCTTTGTTGAAACACAGGCATGTCACGTTTTCGTACTAAAGCCGTGTTCGCTTTTGTGACAGGTTTTGATAATTCCAAACCGCCGTGATCAAGTCAAACTTTGAATATACAAGGCGAAGAAGGAAGACAAGAACAAGGGATAAAAGAAGACCAAGAACGAAGACCTTAGTCTTAGTGTCGTTGAGTCGGTCTTCATTGTGATCAAGACCGACCCAATCTTTACACCTTGGCTCTTTAGGCTAAAATCCTTCATTGCATTTCTTAAATCATAAAAATGTTTTTCAAACATGTTTAAGTCATTAAAAACACTTGGTGTTCGCCCAAACCAAAAACCAAGCCATCCGGCGTTCGGGTTTCAAAGACCGGCGTTCGACTCTCGGTTATCGGCTATGGTTTTTGGCGTCCGAACCAACCAAGTGGTTTTCAACTTTTTATGATT